ATAATATAATATAAGCACATATATATTATTTTTGAACATATATATTATTGTTGATAATACAGTTTTATTTATGTAGAATTGGCATTCGTTAATTTTATTAAATCCTATTTAATATTGTTATAGTTTGCTTTCATGCACATCATACGTCCAGACTTCACGCAAAATACGCTTTTCTTCTCTTTTTTTAAATTATTTCTTTTAATATTCTTATTCCAAAAACTGAGCAGGCGCCGTGTCTATAATGACTTTGAGTATAATTCCTTATCTCGTCGTGAAAAGTTGACCTCCAAGGCTCCGCTATAGGATCTGGTTCATAAGGTTCATAATCTTGCACCTCCTTCCTTAAGTGATCATATTTGAAACTTTGCTTACTCCGTGCATTGTAAAACCTTTGAAAACCCAAGTCATTATGTTCGATTATAAGCGCTGGATGGTCATGCTGTACATAGGCAAACCGTTGACAAGCTGGAACGAATTTTTATATATACTTGGCGTCGCGACGCTACCGCGTCGCTTGATCGCACATAAAGCGTCGCATATCGGTAAGCAAGCAAACTTTTCGTGTGACCGAAAAGATATGTTTTAGTCATCTTTTTGCTTTATCAGAAAAATAATCATAAAATTATGTCTTTTTTAAGATGTTTTTTCAGCAAAGTGAAAAGATGTATATTATAGACATCTTTTAGTTTTTTGTGCTGTCTGAGTAATCAAATATCTAAAATTTATGAATACTGCATTTTAATGACAGACTATTATGATTTTAATATATAAAATTCTAAGAATTACATTCATAAATTTTGTTCATGTTATAAATTTTATGTGTATTTTAATTATACAGGGTATCCTACGTAAAGTGTTACAAGCCAATAACTCTAAAAATATTTGTCGAATCAAAAAGTTGTTCATGAGAAAGTTTCACGTATTTGAGAGGCCTTTCTAACTATGTAAATATAAAGTCGCATCTGCTCCCCTTTCAAGGAAGGCGGGGACTTCATAATTTCAAATGGAATTATATACGTAAAATATAAAATGTACATATTTGGATTCAACGGGAAATAGCAAGTAAATTTTATTTGAAACATTTGTTTGAAAAATGCTTCTGTCAAAAGTTATAAGCATTTAAATTTTAAAATAGAGTGCATTTAAACTCAATGACTCCCTCGTTCATCTGATCTTATATCTTTGGACTATTTTTTATGGAGGTATATCGAACAAAAAGTCATGTCTCAATCACCTACGACGATAGAAGACTTAAAACGAAGAATACATGAAACTTGCGCTAGCGTGACCCCAGAGATGTTAGACAAAATTTTGTAGAAAGAAGTAATAAGTGTTTAGATGAGAATGGACAACAGTTCAAACATTTAAAGTAAAAAACAGAAGAACTATAAAGTCTATCAATTAATTATATATATATATAATTTATTTTCTTATTAGTTTGAACCAGACGGTGCATTCGGATGTTTAATATTCTCTGGACGTCTTTTCAATATGTGTGTTGTTAGGAACTCTACTTTAATTTCTAGTTTAAATACTTATAATTCTTGATAGAAGCATTTTTCAAAAAATGTCCCAGACAAAATTTACTTGTTTTTTCCTTCAGAATTCAAATTTTTCCTCCAGAATTCAAATATGTAACATTTTATAGGGGGTTCCATTTGAAATTATGAAGTTACTCCCCGCCCCTTTGAAAGAGGAACGGGAGTGACTTATGTTTACGTTAGAAAGACCACTCAAATACATGAAACTTTCTCATGAACAATTTTTTGATTCGACAAATATTTTTAGAGTTATTGGCTTGTAACAGTTTACATGGGACACCCCGTATAAAATACAATTTACACAGAATCTTTCAGGTCTTATGAGACAAACTTCATGGGGTAATAAGTCTCACCAAATATCAATTTTTGTCGAGGAACCTGTGTCTTTCGACGCATTCTTAAATAGCTGTGTATGTCCCTGTTCGGACCGCCTGATATAGGCAACCGATCGTGCGACAGCATTGCAAGTGACGTTTGACAATACTCGAGTTCACGTCTTTTGACTTTGTTCTTGCTTTATATTAAATAAGAAATTTGGACTCTAGTATTGTCAGATGTTACGCGCAATGCTGTCGCGTGACGAGTTGCCTACTTCACAGACGGTTCGAACAGGGGCGCATAGCTCCTTAAGAACGCATCGGAAGATATGGGTTTCTTGATAAAAATTGATTTTCCTGGTGAAAGATACCATCCCTTAAAGTTTGTCTCGTGAATTCTAAAACATCCTGTATAAATTGAAAATTTGCATTTTTTTCTGGAAACAAATATCAGCTTAAGTTTTCATAGTTCTATTTTATTTTTATAAAATTTCTCTCTGCTTTCTATGCATTATTATATAAAACAATAAAACATTAACAGTAGAAGTTAGTAATTAGTCTCACCCCATTTTTATCACAAAGCTTGATTGTATTGAAGGATCCAACAGCAAAATAGTTACCAGAGGAACACCAACTGATTGCTGTTACAGGATAATCACCAATACCACTGCTATATAATAACTGATTATTGTTGGCGTCCCATACCTATGTTAGAAAATATTGTTATATGTTTTTAAAGCATAGAATACAAACTATATATATACATATTGTGACATGACGTTTTTTTCGTCCGTCACAAAGGCGGAATAGCTCAGCCGCGAACGGTTGTGCAGGCCTCCGTTCTCTCGGTTCAGGGAGAGAGAGTGGCCCCGCGATTTTTTGCGATTTCTCATTTGGCGATAATATAAGTTTTAGCGTTAAATGACGGTGGATAACGGAGGAGAGCGACAGGATCTCATCCGGTGCCAGCGGAGGACACAAGGAATTGGCGCCAGAGACGAATGGAAGCCCGATGCAGCATATACGAAGCACACCAGATAATGGCATCTCATCTTTTGTAATAACATGAATGATAATAACAGAAAATGTTCACTGTCGCTTTTGAGAAAACCGCTGCTCACAGGATCAACGAGGAGACAAGACGGGAAGGCCCTTCCGCATACAATTAGCATGGGAGCTCCGAAGCGGAGATATGAGACTGCGCCCGACGCATGCGAGCCCGGAACTCCGATCCGGATACGATCCCGGATCGATAAGAAACTCGAAAGGGAGAACATCCGGAATCGCGGAGGAACGTTAAAAGGTCGGCCCGGCTTGTACGCTGCCGCAGCATATCCTCCACATCCAAAGGGAGAGGCGAAAGATGAAGCGATCGAGGGCCGGAAAATCAATATCGCGAAGGCCGCAAGAACCAACAAGACCACGCGACGGTCCTGAAGACCCGGAAGCGTCACAGGTGGCCTAGTTACAAATTAAAGTGCCGGCGTGTCTCCTGCGGGCCTTTCGCTTCCGCTTGTCATTGTTCGGCCGACCAGCGCGAGAGATGGAGGCCCATCGCCGAGATCCATCGTAAGAGCGGAACGATAACTGGAGACCGGAGAGACTGACGTCATCCCTTTGTTAAGCCACCAATTTCGAGTACGATTCGGATAAATCGCGCCATGTAATAATCGCTGCCGTAAGTTAATGTTTCTTTTCCGAATTCTTTTCTCGCTATCGCGTTTCCTAAGAATAAACGGCCGACGACGAAACGACTCATCCGATCCCCTGTATCGCGCAATTACTCTCTCTCCCGGGAATCTTGCCGTCGACAGTCATAATTTCTTGAGCACTGTTTCGTATTGCTTTGTATTTCTACCGTTTTGTATTTCGTTATTGTCTTGCAGCGAGATATATATCACGGATATTTCGCATTTCGAATATATATCGTGCGTTGAAAATCTCGCGTGCCGCGTATGTGTATTTTCGGTATATTTTATGTAATCTGTATTTCGCATAGTATTTTGAGAGCGTGTCGATATTGCGGAGTTGTGGCATTGTATGGAATTGTAGTATTCTCAGATAAGTGCGTCATGTTAATCGTGTAATTACGATTCTCTCTCTTTTGCGCAGCACCCGTCATTTGCTATCGCCGTAATAATTGTAAAATCGGAAGTTAGAGAAGAGTCAAATCCGAACAACGATATTGAGGTCATATCCCGCAATTACGAACTACTGTCGCGAGTAACGGCTGCTATACGAGCGCCTTTGTATTTCTTTGTACATCATCTTTAGGATTTTTCTTCGCTACCGAGGCCCAAACAAACCTCGCGCGTCGGGAAATTCTTGTCCATCGTATAATCGATCTCTACTCGCGCGTGCCATGAAGTACGATACTCTTGTGCTCAACCACGTTAACACATTGAGGCCGACGAACAGGCTGATCTTTCAGAATTATATCTTATCTTGCTTTTATTTAAACTTGTTAATATACTATTATTTTGTATCTATACTATTACTTTATATCTTTGAATGTTCTAAATTTCCGATTGCCTATTTCGACTCTCTCCCGTCCCGTTCGTACGAATCACCTCCTCTACCAATCTCGTAATTGAGCAGCCGCGGATTCTGCTGTCGCAATTATTATCGATCGAACATTTATTGGTTTTTCGCGAGTTTTGTGTGGCGCGAATTCTCGCCTGGCGCCCAACATCTTAATATCGAAATCTAGTCCCTTCGATCTTTCATATGTCGCGCCGAAGGTGTGCCGTGTGTCACCACCACCGACCCGAAAACGATAAAATAATCCCCCAAAAATACACGGTCACAATATATATATATAAATATATGTGCACCTTATATATATGTACACATATATATTATAAACAGTGTCTAATTTTAACTTTTACACCGTAAAATCTCGAAAACCTATACAAGGGCTGTATAATAAGTACCCGTGTTAGAGAAGAAAACGCATTTTTTTTTTAATTTTTTTTATTTATTTCTCAACATAGTCTCCTTTCAGCTTGATACACTTAGTTCAGCAATATCCCAACTTTTTTAGGTCATCCAAAAAATATGATTTGTCGAACTCTGCGCTCTTCATCAAAAACGGATGTTCGGCCACGCTTGAATTCATTGAACCAATATCTGATGGTAGTTATCGAAGGTGCATGGTCCTTATAAACGGCATGCAACTTCACTTTGATTTCCTCACACGTCTTCCAATCCAAAAAGAGGAAACCGACCGATATTGCTCTTTTTCCATATTTGCAAACAAACACAAAGTTGCCTACTTTCAACAGCTATCAAAACAAAACTCGATAAATCTGTCTGACAGGCGTCGTTCGAAAGATGGCGTTAAACAATGGTATACAGATTTTGAGTCAGTGGCGCTATCAGTCGTTAAACACGGGTACTTATCATACAGCCCTCGTATACATTTTTATCTATATTTACGTATATTTATCTATATATGTGTGTGTGTATATGTATAACCTGTTAAAAAAAAGGTAAAAAAGGGCGTCAAGTACACGCGCCAGTTGTGAAAAACTGTTATATTTATAAAACAATATTACTATAATTTAATCTTGCACAAAATAATGTTATTATAAATTATTGAAAATAAAAACGGTAAATATAGCGAATAGGGGACCCAGCCCCAATGACCTTGACCTTGACATATGTTATCAAGGACATAATTCTGAGTAACTTTTTCTTCTAATTTAATCGTCGCTCGTTGCTTATTAAAAAGTTATTAACAAACAAAAATTTGTAAAAATCAAGATTTATACATAGTCTGACAATGAAAAACTGGATATTTAAGTTAGTTTACAGAAATAGTCCTACGTATACTACACATATAAACTGAAATAAACACAAGTTTTTACATATATAGGGTGTTCAAAAATAAAATGAAAAGTAAGAACTTTACGCTTGGAAGAATTAAACAAGACTGTGTCATCATAAGAATTCACTAGTACAGAAAATAATAAGAAATGAATATGAAATAGTATAAACATTGAGAGAAGGTATTCAAATGTAAACACAAAGCAATATTTCCGCGACCTGCTAACATCAATGTGTATGTACACGTGAAAGTTGAAAATATATGTCTTGAAAATGTATTTTTAGCAGATTCATTTATTTATGTGTAGTAAATCGAACGCATGGGCCGGGAGAAGAGGGAAAGGTAAAACTTAAAAGTTTGGAATATACCAAAGTACATGCATGGACAGGAAGCACGCACACCTTGACAACATATGTCAAGGTCAAGGTCATTGGGGCTGGGTCCCCTATTCGCTATATTTACCATAAAAACTTATAAAAATATTTTAACAAAAAAAGTTGTACAAATATATTCTGCAAAAATAATGATATAAAGAATTGCGCCATCTGAAAAAAAAAGTTTGTTATAAAATTTTTTTATTTTGTTATTTTCAATATTAAGAAAAATTATATTTAATAAATCGCAATATAATAAAAGTATAGGGCGTATAGATAAAATAGAGTTATTTTATAATTAACTAAATGCACAATATACACATCTAACGCTTTGAGATGTATATATTGAAAGAAATTTCTCTACACTCTAAGTCGCATAAAACAGACTTACACCAAAGCAAAGTATAAAAATTTGACGTGCCCGGGTCGCATTATAAATCATATATTATTATTAATATATTGATAATGATTTCTGATCATCTTTTGCAAATTTTGGTAAAAGTGACGTTTAGGGGATGCAGCCCCGATGATCTAACCCACTGTTTTATGCATACACTTTTTAATGCAAAGTGAGGTTCTACATGAGTTTACAACTTTCCACGCGAAGCGAGATTCAACGCAAATCAATGTGTCTAGTTCTTTGATAGTGGAGCCCCCCGTGGGTTTTCTCTTTATCTTTAAAATATAAGCTTGGTAATTCATGCCGACTGCCATATGAACAACATATAGTGAGTAACATACTAAGTAAGAATATCAAAAGAAATCAAAATAAATCAGTGTTTGGGAATGTAATAAATGTTTGTATATAACACGTATCTATATCACCAGTCTCAGTATATCATATAGTCGTGTATCAGTCAGTTGGGTAATTTCATAATTTCCTTAATTTTCAACATGCATTTGCACGAATTTATCAATTTGACATACAATTTTGATTCTTTGTGGAATTTTTTGTGTGAGAAGAAAGTTGTTCGTGGCGAAATAACGTGTCCAAGATGTGAAAATGTATTAGTACTAAACACATTCAATAAATAATATTTTAGTTAATAACTTTTTAATAAAAAACGAGCGACGGCTAAAACCTTCTGAAGGTCACTCAGAAGGGTGACCTTGACAACATATGTCAAGATCAAGGTTATCAGGGCTGCATTCCCTAAACGTCACTTTTACCAGGTTTATAATTAATTTCAAAACAAGTCGATCAGTTTAGCACGGGACACTTTTAAATTTGAAATTGATGCTCGATGTGACCGATATTATTGCAATAAGGGTTAAGTAATTTTATGATTTACTATTTGTAATAAAATCCGCAATATAATAGCGCTATTTAATATATTATACAAAATATTTATTTGGGAGGGACATAATAGTGTAATTTTTTAATAAAAATAAAATACATTTTAATTTTTTCGAGAAAATCTATAATATTTTTCCAGATGCAAGATTGATTTTATGACAAATATTATTTCAAATTACAAATCCTCACAAATTGAACTGCTTCTATGTACTTGGCTAATTAACTATTAATTTCATATTTAGTTTTTATTTTTTTTCTTTTAGGGAAAAAATTTTTTAGAAGTTATTTTTTAGAAGTAAATATATTTTTAAACTTTTTGTTGCGTATACAAGGGATATTTTTTTTGTACTTGGCGTACTTTTTTTTACCTTTGTTATACATGAAAATAGATCTGGCCGAATATCATTATATAAAGATAAGATCATATCGCGCCAAATTTCGGACATTATTATATATAATCATATAAAATTACATATTTTATTACATGTTATTATTTATATAATCTTATATAATTACATAAAGTCCATTTTTTCTCGAGCGAATTCATATGAAATATCAAATTTACGACAAATCAGGGATTGACAGATAATTAATACTGAAGAAGAAGTTAAGAAAAGGTCGATTTTTTGGATGAATCAACAAGAATCGCCATTTTCGGAGTTTCTCACCATTATATTGATCAGACGTATTACAAATTCCTCTGTCATTACTTTGTATTTGCTGTTCATCTTCATAATTTATTATACACGAATTTTTTATCATATGTTTATTCTGTTGTAATTAAGAATTATAACAAAATGTAATAATTAGGAATTACGTACCTTATATCTACAGTCTTCGCTACCAGAAAGTATAAGATTATTTTTCCAGCAAGCAATCAGTACGAGACTATCATGCGCATGCCACTAAAAATTTACTCAATAATAACTCCTTTATTAAGCGCTATATAAAAAAATGGTACAGGACTTTTCTGTTCAGTTTACTGTGCTCTACGTGCTCACGAGCGTTGTCAATAATTCGCAAATCACCACTCGTGTGTATATGAAGCATATTAAATTGAGTAGGAAAATCCTCTACCATTTTGCGATCTTCGCGACAATTAATAAGAAATTAATTAAAAAAGATCGGCCAATTCGCGCCTTGAACAAGCACGCGGCGAGAAAAGGCTTTATACTGTTACGCGGTGCTTGCCGCGCGGCGAAACGGTGGGAGGGGCGCTCTACAAAGGCTATGTACCAGAGACACTATAATCAGAGACTGGCCACAAACTCATGTCCGCCATGTTTTGGCTAAATCCTACGAGAGAGAAAGAAATATATACTATTTCATTCCAACCTAGAGTGTCTCTATTCTAACCTATAATGACGTAACATCACGACCGATAACGGATATTTTACTTCGCGTGCATGTGGCTAAATCAGGCTAAATACATTAAACTATCTATTTATCGGAATATTTATCAGGATTTCTTGAATATTTATCATCGATAAAACCCAAAAAAAAAGAAAGACATAATGCAAAATAGTATACCAAGTACAAATAAAATACCAGATTTTAATAATAATCCTATTGATAAAATGACAAATCTTGATTTAAACTCTTTATATAACATTGCTGGATATATCTTAAACTCCACCATGAAGACATGTAAAGTGTGCAATAATTGCTTAAAATCAATAGGATCGAAGACTTTATTACAATATTCATTTAGCAGATTCGTGTAATTTAAAGCTTAGACAAAAAATTCTTTATATTATATCAAAGTGGAAACATTTAAAATATTTTTAAAATTAGAACAAATATTTCGGCATTATTCTAAATATTTTCGTAATATGAAAAATATTAATCTGAAATTATTTTTATTAGAAAAATGTAAAAAGATAAATGCAAATCACATATTAACTTGTCATAATTTGTTTTTTAAAATTATGAGAAGATTTATAGTTTTTAAATTAAGAATTTTTAATAAAAAAAGATAAAACTAATATAAATAAAATCTATGATAGTAAATCTATGGCAATGCATTTTGCCTTTAAATAACTTGTTAATGAAACAATATATACATATAACAATATACAGTAGAACAGATCATAATGATATCAAAATGACGTTAAAATGACGTCATTTTGACGTTATTTGATGTTATTTCGACATCATTTTGATATCATTTTCATTGTGATTTTAATATTTTGATTTATTTTTCCTTGATTTTATCTACTTACTCTATGTTGCAATAAAAAGCTTCTTTATAATAATAAATTAATGTCAATAACAATTATTTTGGTAATTATTTACATTAACGGACACCTCGCCAATGACCTTGACCTTGACATATGTTGTCAAGGACATGACTCTGAGTAACTTTTTCTTATAACTTAATCGGCGGTCTCTTATAATTTCTGAGATATTTAAAGTTAAAGTTTGATTCGAAACGAAAATTTGGTTTGGATTGTACAACGTAACACAAGTAGCAAATTACTCACACCAAATTTGGTAATTATTTACATTAAAAATTTGGTTTGGGTTAGGTTATATCTTCCGGAA